ATTAAAAATAAATAAACACACACACATTACTAGAGCAGTACAAAGACTAAAAATTAGTTTCAGGAGAAATGAACGCAAACTAAAAATGTTTTCATCGGTTTCGTCAAACAAAACAAATTTTTATGCTATTTTGGATTTGGCCTCCAGCGCATTCTGCGCACCGCGATCCTGGAGGCGGGGCGCATGACGTCGCATACCGCAAACGTCTGTTGGGGGAGGGGGGGCCCAGGTCGCAATTTTCCGTTCTTGCCCCGGGCGCAAAAGGAGCGAGCTACGGCTCTGACGCTGCAAATCCCATCATGCGTTCACCTGTGGATGTCAGTCTTGCAATGCCTCATGGGGATTTGTAGTTTCACCGCAGCTGGAGTGCCGGGGTTTGGTCTCCAGGGTAGGAGACTTGCCTTGTCAGGTGCAGCGTATTGCTCACCCGGCGCTGATATAATGATCGCTGTATGCTGTGGTAATGTTTCCTCTCTCTCCCCCTCCTCCAGCTGCTCCCCATCTTCATGCAGTTGGGCTCCCGGGAACTGATGATGCATTACATTGACTTGAAGCGCACCAACGACGTCCTCCTCACCTTCGAAGCCCTGAAGGTAAGTTCCCGTTGAGTCGTCGCTCCCGTTACCTCAGCTCCGGGCTCTTCATGTCTCTCACAGCGGCGTTTCCCCCATCGTTGCAGCATTTGGCCTCTCTGCTCCTCCACAACAAGTTTGCCGCCGAGTTTGTGGCTCACGGGGGCGTTCAGAAACTGTTGGAGATTCCGCGTCCGTCGATGGCGGCTACCGGGGTGTCCATGTGTCTCTACTACCTGTCCTATAACCAGGACGCTATGGAGAGGGTGAGTGCTGAGGAGCTTTACATTTTTTTACTTTTGAACAGCAGTTATCTCCACTTTACCTTTTTCGTCCAGAGGTCATTGAATCCTTTTATAATGAAGGGCAGGCAAATGATCGGGGCGGCCATTTTGTTTTTAATTTTGGGCATTCTCTATAAAGGAATCCTCTGTGTAGTTGGTTGCACATTTTTGACTCTTTGCTCTCCCCCGTAGGTGTGCATGCATCCGCACAAGGTGCTCAGCGATGTTGTGAGTTACACCCTGTGGCTCATGGAGTGCTCCCACGCCTCCGGCTGCTGTCACGCCACCATGTTCTTCTCCATCTGCTTCTCCTTCCGAGCCGTGCTGGAACTCTTCGACAACCAGGATGGCCTCCGACGGCTGGTGAACCTGGTAAGTGCCGAGATATGGCAGCTTTTATTTAAAAACTCCTTTTCATATGACCAGTTCATGAGTTGGTGTTGCCAGTCTGGTCTCTAAAGATAGAAACCTTTCCTCCTCAGCCTGACTGGCCCCGCCCCTTTGATTGGATTTCACTTCTTCCAATCATCATGGAGGTTCAGCATCACATGTGGGTGTTTCCTAGGGTGGTCTGCATGCAAATACACCCTGCCTAGGCACGCCCACTCCCCCAGAATGACATCTACACATTAAAGGAGAACTATGGGGTCAGGGCTTTTCCCCCATAGTTCTCCTTAGTGGTGGCGAACCTTGGCACTCCAGCTGTGCCAAAACTACAAATCCCAACATGCATCTGCCTCTGGGGGTTATGTCTGTGGCTGTCAGAGCCTTGCAATGCCTCATGGGACTTGTAGTTCCAAAACAGCTGGAGTGCCAAGGTTCGCCACCACTGCCTTTAGGGTAACGGGAGGACACAAACTAGCGTCCTCCCGTCACCCTAGGCTCAGTATATAGGGAGCTACAGCTCGCGGTATACTGAGACGCCGCCGCTGAAGTGGATCCCGACAATTATGTCTGGATCCGCCCAGCTGCGTGAGTGACTGCTGGCTCTGCCTATCTAGAGGCAGTGCCAGCTGTACCCTCCCCCGTCCGTTCTGCCTGTCATCGCTGGAGGATCGGAGGGGGGAAATCCAGTCCCTCCCCTGTCACGGCTCTCTGCAGGGACAGGATCGAGAAGTGAGCGAGCGCCGGTATGTGTTTGCTCCCTGATCTACAGAGCCGACCTGTGACAGTCTCATTGTCACAAGTCGGATCAGATTATGAGGCTGAGTGAAAAGCACCCCCCTCATAGTTCTCCTTTAAGGCATTTTAACATTAGCATAACTCCTCCCAAGATCCCACCCACTGCTTTTAACAGGGCTGAGGCAGGGTGCTGTGATGTTTTCAGGAAGCTATGTTCAGCCTGCTGCTGGCCCCTCCCACCAGCCATGATCTGCCATCTGCATTGACATCACCAGGACTAAAATAAGATCTGTAATGAGAACTGAAAGGTTTTATTTAAAATGTAAACAGTGAGGGGGGGGGGGGG